TTAAAAAAGAAATAAATGTCACAGGAATATATTGAACTCAAAACCTTTACCTATCTTTTATTTGACAAAGAACAAGATAGGCGAAGACACCTTCTTGAAACCTGTTTTGAGGTGTCTTCTAGAAAGAATGAACAGTTTATCAACAAGGACCTCTCAAGTCCCCGGCCACAGATGAGGCTGTATTAATTTTTGGATACGTAAAGGTAACGGGGTGGTCGAAATTATGTCAATTACCGAATGTTCTTAATTTCTAATGCAAATGTTCATCAATTTAACAGCACATTTTCTTTCAGAAAAAAACAAAGCATCGTTGAGCTCAGTTTTTCAGAAAACATTCATATTTCATCCAAATCTTCACACTTATGAAATCTTCAGCATTGTTAAAAACTTGGCCTTTCCTTTGACTTTTCCTTCACGTCGTGTTCATGTCAGTTAAAAAAAATCAAGATATTTTCATCAAACTTCATATGATTTTGATTTTAGTTCTGAATTGTGATGTAAGCATTTAACTGCATTAATTACTTTAACTGCTTCAGACTTTTTGACCTTGATTTTTATTTTGACCTTAAACTCACCTTTCATAACCAAGTGTTTAGCCCAGTTTTGAGAGAGCATTCAAGACAGTGTAATCCAAAATTAAATACTAATAGAAGCTAAGTCTGGGTATTAATTGCTTCAACGTTTTCTTAACTTGACATTTCTTTTAGCTTGATCTGACTTTTCAAATGTGTGTTTATCTAATTTTTTTAAAGAAACAATTCAAGGTATTTTCTTCAAACTTCATATGCTAATAAAACCGGATGTAAACTTTTTGTTTCGTTCAAATTTAAAGAATCATTAAAAATTTGTAAATCAAATTTAAGTTTCTTTATACATACTGATATAAAGGTTCAACTGGCTTCAGGCTGAAAGGTAAACAATTCGAATACAGAATTGGGGAGACGTCTCATAGAAATTTTACCAAAAAATCGTCAGGCTTTATTTTTAAAATCTAGTTTAATGATGAGATTTTACAGTTTTGATATCCTTTTTTTGCTTTGTTTTTATTTTTCCTATATCTATTTATATTTAAATATTTGAGAATATTATTTTTAAGAATAATTTTAGAGTTCATTTATGCGTTTATGTGAAGGAGGGGTTATATTAATATATTCTTATCGGGAGAAAAATTATTATTTGTCATTTACATGTGTAGTTGTTTTCATTCTGATTAAAATCTAGCTGCAGAACTGTAACTCTCTGCTTGAGAAAATTCAGACAGATAAAGCTGAGAGCTACAGATCCAAGCGTTATAAAAACCTTGGATTTACGCCGACAGTTTTTTGTCACTACTCTAGGTATTTATTTCGTGTAGTTGAAACTTTCTCTGGCTTTTAGAATTGTATCCTATAACTAATTCTATATTTAACTCTTATTTTTGATACTTTACTAAAATTTATTTACCTTTCAGTAGGGATGTCAAAATTGTCAATAAATGATTTTCGAATATTCGATAGGAGTATTCGAATATATTCGAATATTCGATAAAATAAATACATCTTGCATTATACAATATCATATCTTCAGTCTCCTGTCAAGCAGCATAGGTTTTATGCCATTATTCTGGAACAAAAACTCATGTAGAGTTTGGTAAATAAGCAATTATATATTTTTATATTATATATTTTTTTTTATTTATCGAATATATGAAGCGTATACATTCAAAATGTAATAATTTCTATGTTGTTGAAAATTTTTTTTAGCATGTTCCAGATTTATTGATCGCCCTACTAAAGACTACACTGATAACTCCTACAAATTTATACCAAGCAGAACAATTATTTAACGGAGAAAAATTAAAAGCAAATACTATTTGCTAATTAATTTCCTGATAATGATTTTTAATGATATTTACATCAACAAAGGATTCATGTGTTTACTGTTAAACTGTGTCCTTGCTGACGGTACTGGACACTATTATACCAGTAATTAATGATCAAGTGAATAAATTACTTTAATAGATACACTCTTCACACCTTTAAGGAAATCAAAGAGGACTGTCTTTTATTTATTTTTTCCTTACAAACTTGATTCAAATTATAATAAAACTTGCCAGGTTTTTCTCTCTTTTTAATGGTTTAAAACATATATTCGAATCATGAATTTATATTCGAATATTAACTCATCGAATGAATATTCGAATATTCGAATATTCGTTGACATCCCTACCTTTTAGCGATCCGAAACAGTCCTGTATATAGTTTTGTAAAGTCGGTTTAAAAGAGTTCCGTCCGTAACCACAAACAGCCGTTTGTTAGCGTTGAAAGGTAAGAAAATTATCAGGAATTGAAGTTAAATGTTTGATTAATTATAAAATACCTATTCAATGCTGGGAAAAGTATAAAATACAAGAAAAAAATACCCAAAGTGAGCGACAAAAAATCGTCGGCGTAAATCGAAGGTTTTTACAACGCTTGGATCTGTAGCTCTCTGCCTTATCTGTCCGATTTTTCTCAAGCAGTTCTCAACAGTTCTGCAGCTAATTAAAAAATCATACTCACTCCATTATTCTGAGCGTGATTAAGATCTCATATTAGCTATTTGTTTGAAATATCTTCATGAAATATAAATATATACGAGGGGTGATCAAAAAGTTCGCGAACTTATTGAATAACATCCATAAAAAAAACAACATTTGGTTTAAATGTTGATTATACTTGAAATTAATCATCTCCAATTTTAATGCATATCAACCACCGTTCTGCGCATGCGCGAATCACGTGATATTGGTGGTCACGTGACCCCTTCTGTAGCGTTTTGTCACAAAAGATGAGAGATTTTTCTGAGTTTTATATTTCTTTCCATGTGAGTTAATTTTTATGATAAGAACAGTTCATTTGTCAGAGATGGTCAAATCTCGGTAACAGAATGGTTGGATAAGAATATCCTTTCCAAAAATAAGCATGGCGAACATTAAAACATAAATCTTCTGAGAGACCTTTATTTAAGGTGGATAGAGAATGGGTGCCTCCTTTTTATCACATCTAATATGTTATAAATCTAAAATAAACGGTATCTTAGGTATTTAATCATTTTAATATTGTGGAAATATTCAACTATTTTTCAAAGTGTAAATTGGAGGTCTTTGATAGCTTATTGTTTAATTAAAAACACATATCTTGTCAAACTTGCTTTCACTGGGCAAGATGACAAGTATCATTTTTAACCATCTGCCATCTTTCTCTGAAACGATCAATCCAATCATTAATTGAATTTATAGGAACTCATATTTCTTTATTAACTGTGTACAAATTATTATATGATACTGCAAAGGGATTACTAAGATAAACAATCAATTGTAAAGTCGTTTGTTGAACGAGTTTGACTGAGACAACCATTTTTTCGTCACAAGTGACCCACAGAGTGACGTCATTTTCACATTGTGACGTCACAAACAAGGAGAAAATCTTTATTCCACATATGCTATTTATAGACCTTGTATATGGCTATGTGTGTACCGAATTGCATTCTAATCTGAACTGTTGTTTTGTAATTAAAGAATTAGCTCGCGAACTTTTTGATCACCCCTCGTACGTGTACAATAGGCTAATTTATAGATATCATAATAAGTGTTTGTCAAACATTTAAACTACGATTTTCAAGAACATAAAGAATAACAAATATAATTTAGAGCTATATAACGCATGGATTTGAAAGGTATATTGCTTAGATGCTTTTGTCAATTTGACTTGTACACCATTCGATACATTGTAAACCAATTCAACACCTTTTTCTTCCTTTTCTGTTTTTTTTCGAATTATAAATAAAGAAAAATAAATGCCGAATAGCCCGCTGATAAATAACTTGAATTTTCTATGGGTTAAAATTCCGAGAACAGAGAAATCAGGGAAATAATTCTAAATCTGCGTCGAATGTACAGATGAGTTTTGGAAAATTCAACAATGTTTTCCATAATGTCAATGTATACTTGTACAGTGTACATGTATCGATCACAACCAAAACAACAATAATCTATTCTGCAATTTCGTTATTGTATTATAATATACATTTGGCTTTCGGGCGGCGAGATTAAAGCGGGGTCAGCTTCACGCATCAGCGCGTAAAGCAGTCCCAGAAGACGAACGCAGGGTTCGCTTTAGCGAACCCAGAGCTGACCGAGAGCAAACGCAGAGAAAAATAAAAATAATATATGAAGAAGTGCATTTTTCTCGAATTTTAAAGGATATTATCAGAACTTATACTCATAGATATATATCGCAACTTTTTTATTCATAGTGTTCTCATAATAAAACAACAAAGAGTTTGAAAATAAACAAATTTAGATTTTTTTCATAGTCACACAACATAACATACACAAAAAATATGTTTTCCTGTGAGTTTAAGAGCTTTGTATTTTTGAACTTTGTGTCTACGTATATAGGGAGCTATAAAAAATGGAGAAAAAAAACTAAGTCATTGGTATCCTTTATATTTTGTTGTTAAGAATATACTAAAGCGCAAAATAACCATCTTACTTTAGAGGGAAAAACATGATTATACATATAATTTGTACTTTAAAAAGGAAGGTCATTTACAACTTCACCAATACGGTAGTTCAACGGTTTTATGATTTTCATCCCATTACCGGAATTTAGTTTTGAGCCTGTTAAACCGAAAAGTTATGAATAGTATCGGTTTTCAAGGAAATAAATCTGATGTATTTAAGGTAAGCAATATACATGCAAAGACAGATGTACGCTGTTCTGTAAAAATGAAAAGGTAAAGATCGTGGCGCACTTCAGTAAACAGGGATTACAGGTAATGATAGAGACATTAAAAAAAGAAATCATAAACTTTTTTGTATAACAAACGTTAAATGCTTCATCTTGTTGAATACTGAAAGAATATATAAATCACAGTCATACACAATGTATATAAAAAATAAAAAAGGGAAAACAAAAATCAAACAATGCAGAAAGAATTAAGAAAAGGGAAAAAAATAGCAACAAAGAAACAGTTAGTTCACACGGGTTTCTGTAATTTGAATCCAGTCTCTTGTTTCACCCTTTTCAGTTCTCAGTCTGTCTTGTCAGTGGTTGGAGAAAATCAGCTTCTTTGTCAAAGTGCTGAAGACCATTGGCAATTGGGTTTCAGATTTATCTTGAAACACAATACTTTGTACCTGTTTGCAGACTCCTGCAAGAATGGCATGGATGTCTTCTCTATTAAAAAAAGAATACATACATTGTTTATTATTATTTTATCAATTAGTTTAATAATTTTACTGTAAATGGACTTGCTTCTTTTCTTTAAGAAAAACTTTAAAAACACTTTTGTCAAAACAGTCTAGTTTAGGGTCTGGTGCATCACTGAACTAGTTCAGAAATTGTTAATTTGTTCAATTTGCAATTTTTAATACGTGTGTTCATCAGAAGAAGTACCAAAGAATTCAAGTTTTAATTCAAAACCAAAACTATCCTTTTTGTGTTAATATGCTTGAAAATGATTCTAAGAAATCCAGGTTTCCTAATTTACGTAGATATTTCTCCGTTTTTTGTTTTTTCCATATCAGTCAATTGATCATTGTTGCTCTAAAAGCCATGTACAATTTAAGGAATATTCTCTTTTTCCTTCTCATTAAAAGGGAATTTTAATAGCAATCCATACTTTGTATGGGTTGGAAGGTATTTAGTAAGCTCATCTATATAATAGCTTCCTTCTGTTACTCCGTTTGAGACAGTCCCTTGATACGCTGCAAAACCGAGCAAAACATCTGCATTTTCTGCTATCCTGGAGAAATCCTGTAAATAATGTTTGATGTATTAACTGTCATTATTTTTTCAAAGAAAAGATAACTTGCAAGAAATATCTGAACAATATAAGATATTTTTGATTTGATAATCAACATGATAGTTATTTAACTCACTTGCGTTACATCAAACTTTATCTTTTTCTTCGTGACGTCTTCCTCGAACGCTTATGAGGTAAAAAGAAAAGCATGACTACCACACATTAGCAACTAGAAAACAAGGAATTAATACATAGGAAAACGGCCATGAGGGCTAAATGATTAAAATTTAAAAAGAAAATACATATTTGATTTGCGGTTACTGTTAGCTCTATTAGTTTTTAATACAATCAATCAGGTGGTTTCGCATCACTATATTTTTCCTCCCCGGGATTGGTCTGTAGGTCAACTTAGTTTCTATTCATTTTCTTTACAACAGCTGCACATACCGAAATGAAATTTGGTACACAGATATATCAGATAAATATCTAGGTCAGGTTTTGTTTTGGATACAACCGCACTATTTTGACAGAGTAATGCCTCTTGGTCTTAGAAAAATCCCAGTTATTTGCAGTTTCCGTTCATTTTGTTCGCAGAGGTTGCACTCACTAAAATGAGATTTAGTATACAGATTTATCAGAAGAATTGGGTCAAGTTCTTTTGTGGGTACGACGGCAAATATTTTGACAGAGTTATGCCCCTTGGACTTAGAAAAATTTCTTTTATTTGCAGTTTCCGTTAATTTTCTTCGTAAAGGTTGCACATACTGAGTTGTAATTTAAAATACAGATTTATCTGATAAATATCTAGATCAATTTCTATCTTGGGTACGAACGCATCATTTTTGACAGAGTAAGGCCCCTTGGACTTAGGAAAATTCCTATTATTTGCAGTTTCTGTTAATTTTCTTCGTAAAGGTTGCACATACTGAATTGGAATTTAACATACAGATTTATTTGATAAATATCTAGGTCAAGTTCTATGTTGGGTACGATCGCGTCATTTTTGGCAGAGTTATGTCCCTTGAAATAAGAAAAATTCCAATTTTTTGCAGTTTCCGTTTATTTTCTACGCAAATGTTGGACATACTGAAATGAAATTTTGTATGCGGTCTTATCAGATGAACATCTAGGTCAAGTTGTGTTTAGGTACGATTGCGCCATTTTCGAGTTATGTCCTTATGGTCTTCAAAAATTCCAACAGGGGGAGGGGACATAAGTGTTTTACAAACATCTAGTTATACTTTTATCTCGCCCATGCTGCAGCTGAACAAAAAAAGTGATTTTGATTTTTTTTTTTCAGGAAAAAATACCGTGCCATTAATAAAATAAGCAATGTTTATTTAATGATATTCTTGAATTTTTTCTTTTTTAATTAAATCAGTCTGTTACTTTTTTGAAGGAAGTCTCCCTGGCATGCATCAATGAGGAAAAGCTTAGGTTTGTCCTTCAACTTAATGCTAATTTCAGAGTCTCCTGTTACCAGAGTATCAACCATTCGTTTGATCCAAACAGCTTTTTTATCTTGTCCAAGTATGACGGATTGTTCTCCATGTGAAGAGACACAGCACGTTATAATTTTGCCTACGTCTTTGGTTATCTTCACATCCTCCTTCAGACTTTCGAGCATTTGTCTTGCACTGTGATTTGCATGCCATATGACATTAAAGTCAAGATGTTCCAACATTTTCCACAACATAACTACCATATGAGAAAATCAAAATGTTATTGACGGTTAATATTCAGCAAACACCAAATGTAAAAAATAAATAAATGTATTTAAAAAAAATCTTTTATTCCCTAAAATAAGAGGGAGTTTAACATTATAATTTCACAATTAAGGATACTTATCTCACACTTCCAAGAACATGAACTTCTACATACTAAAAACAACAATACTTACTTCCATCCTCCCATACAAACGGAAGCTTATTAGTTGTTTTCCAAAAATCATTCGTCATGATTATGGCTAAACCTACAAATGGTTGACTTTAAATTATTTGTGTAGATGTTCAAGGATCTCTGTTGTTAATTTTATTTTTTTTTATCTATAAGTATTCAACTGCAGAACACATAAATATATCATCAGATATACTGCATTCCAAAATTATATATATATATATATATATATATATATATATATATATATATATATATATATATGAAAGCACAAAGAAATTCACTTTTACATGGATTCCCACTTCCGCCCCAGCCCGGGGTTGAACTCTCGACCTTCGGAATCTGTGTCCTAGCAGTGCAGGAACAGCGCGCTAGACCGCTCGGCTATCTAGGCAAGTCAAAAAACTTGCTTTCGATGCCGATGGAATTCTCGCGGCGCTGCCCTACACTACACGGTCATTGAGAATAGAAGTCAGATACAGTTATTTGAACATTAGTTTTAACAGAGGATTGTTACCAATACGTGTTGTAATGAAATTAATTATTATTTATAAAGCACAATTTACAACAACTCTTAAACTAACATAACTGCCCTAAGTGAAGAAATATTAATATAGAAAGCACAAAGAAATTCACTTTTACATGGATACCCACTTCCGCCCCAGCCCGGGGTTGAACTCTCGACCTTCGGAATCTGTGTCCTAGCAGTGCAGGAACAGCGCGCTAGACCGCTCGGCTATCTAGGCAAGTCAAAAAACTTGCTTTCGATGCCGATGGAATTCTCGCGGCGCTGCCCTACACTACACGGTCATTGAGAATAGAAGTGAGATACAGTTATTTGAACATTAGTTTTAACAGAGGATTGTTACCAATACATGTTGTAATGAAATTAATTATTATTTATAAAGCACAATTTACAACAACTCTTAAACTAACATAACTGCCCTAAGTGAAGAAATATTAATATAGAAAGCACAAAGAAATTCACTTTTACATGGATACCCACTTCCGCCCCAGCCCGGGGTTGAACTCTCGACCTTCGGAATCTGTCTCCTAGCAGTGCAGGAACAGCGCGCTAGACCGCTCGGCTATCTAGGCAAGTCAAAAAACTTGCTTTCGATGCCGATGGAATTCTCGCGGCGCTGCCCTACACTACACGGTCATTGAGAATAGAAGTGAGATACAGTTATTTGAACATTAGTTTTAACAGAGGATTGTTACCAATACATGTTGTAATGAAATTAATTATTATTTATAAAGCACAATTTACAACAACTCTTAAACTAACATAACTGCCCTAAGTGAAGAAATATTAATATAGAAAGCACAAAGAAATTCACTTTTACATGGATACCCACTTCCGCCCCAGCCCGGGGTTGAACTCTCGACCTTCGGAATCTGTGTCCTAGCAGTGCAGGAACAGCGCGCTAGACCGCTCGGCTATCTAGGCAAGTCAAAAAACTTGCTTTCGATGCCGATGGAATTCTCGCGGCGCTGCCCTACACTACACGGTCATTGAGAATAGAAGTCAGATACAGTTATTTGAACATTAGTTTTAACAGAGGATTGTTACCAATACATGTTGTAATGAAATTATTTATTATTTATAAAGCACAATCTACAACAACTCTTAAACTAACATAACTGCCCTAAGTGAAGAAATATTAATATAGAAAGCACAAAGAAATTCACTTTTACATGGATACCCACTTCCGCCCAAGCCCGGGGTTGAACTCTCGACCTTCAGAATCTGTCTCCTAGCAGTGCAGGAACAGCGCGCTAGACCGCTCGGCTATCTAGGCAAGTCAAAAAACTTGCTTTCGATGCCGATGGAATTCTCGCGGCGCTGCCCTACACTACACGGTCATTGAGAATAGAAGTCAGATACAGTTTTTTGAACATTAGTTTTAACAGAGGATTGTTACCAATACATGTTGTAATGAAATTAATTATTATTTATAAAGCACAATTTACAACAACTCTTAAACTAACATAACTGCCCTAAGTGAAGAAATATTAATATAGAAAGCACAAAGAAATTCACTTTTACATGGATACCCACTTCCGCCCCAGCCCGGGGTTGAACTCTCGACCTTCGGAATCTGTCTCCTAGCAGTGCAGGAACAGCGCGCTAGACCGCTCGGCTATCTAGGCAAGTCAAAAAACTTGCTTTCGATGCCGATGGAATTCTCGCGGCGCTGCCCTACACTACACGGTCATTGAGAATAGAAGTGAGATACAGTTATTTGAACATTAGTTTTAACAGAGGATTGTTACCAATACATGTTGTAATGAAATTAATTATTATTTATAAAGCACTATATATATATATATATATATATATATATATATATATATATATATATATATATATATATATATATATATATATATATATATATATATATATATATATATATATATATATGGTTTTAGAAATACATTAAAAAGCAACATGAGCTGAGTGGGATCTTTTTCATGCCAGAACATACTGTAACACGGAATCTTGGGTCAAACTGTCTCATTTGAAGGATCGGTCTTCACATCTTACGGTGGGATTCAAACCGGTGATGTAAGGATCAACTCCTTACGTCGCGACTCTTGATCAAGCGCTCTTACCACTGCGCCACAGAGCCAATCTGAGGCTTTTTCTGTTTAAAATTTATAAATGTACCTAGTTATGAAGTCATACTTACAGAAAAGTCCTCTTTAAGGTCATATTCATGGTTTATCAAATGAATATACTCGAAAAAAATACTTGTGAACATTAAAACTTATGGATAAGGCGAAGCCCAATTTTTACGTTCTTAACATTTGATTTTTTTTTTATCACCAAATGCGCTAAAGAACAATTCATTCATTGAAAAATTTGACCGAGTTTCACAGGATATTGTCACTAGGCAATATCATTTATCATGAATTCAGAATAGACGATTAACATATAACATGTATGTTTGACGTATTCAGTATCTAAAAAGTCTTATTTATCAGCGCTGAAGAAAAATAACATTTACCTCGCTTTTGGTTAACAGCAGGACTGATATCGTACCGGTCCGTTTCCCCTTTTCCGGGTAGTGAATTGGGCAGGGTATCTACGAATTACATAAATATTGTTTTAATACACTGTAGTAGGAGAGGAAAATTGCTTTAATATCAACCCATCTGAGTCCAGCTGTGTCCGTGAAGAAAAACTCACACTCAGTCGGAAAGACAGTATTATATAATTTATCTACTTACTTTTGATATCTGGGCGACATTCTGTGTGAAATACAAGAAAACAATTTAAGTAAATAATGTGCAAAATACCTTTTACTAAAGTTGTTTACTCTGAGTAATCTTTAATTGTTATTAAGAAGATATTTAACAAATTTAACAAATTCTGACTTCAGTTTGGGTCAATGTTGATAAAAGGATCTTTGTCAACTAATACTAACAGAAACGTAAAATAATTGCGACTGTTCTAACGATGTCCTAATAATTTCTGTCTGTGGACAAATATACTTAAGGTAAGATTCACTCGTATTTCTTGTATTTAAATGAATTTTTTACAGAATCAAGAAGACAATATCACTAAGTAATGACATCAGCGAGATTAAATTTGACGGTTTTATATTAGAGACAAAGTCAAGTGAAGGTCGTTACTTTTTCCCTGGACATAAAGATTAAAGCATGACTGTATCACATCATACTATCCCTACTTGCATTTCAAAAGATTAGATTTATTTTGGTTTAAAAAGTACTATTATATATATCCTATGAGATAACATTAATAAACAGACATAATTAAACTAAAAACGATATTTGCTAATCCTAATTTCCCCTACTTTTATTTTGAAATTTTAGGATACATAAGTTATTTTTGAATGCTTGATATGTTTTTTATGTTTTCACATATACTACCAAGTTTTCACATAAAGATACAAAATTATGCAAAACAAAAATTTTTGATCGTTTACTAAAAGAGAAAAAATACTTTTCACGTATTTTGTGGCTAAAACATGTGACTAGATGGAAAGCCTTTAAAGATTACATAGTTCAAGTTTGTTTTGAGAAATCATATTTATTCAATATAATTTGAAAATTCAACCTCCAATTTTTAATTAATTATTAACATAACATTTGTAAATTTCTGGAAGTCTTTTGATTGTGTAAAAATTATAACTAAGTTCATTGTTGTATATTCAATTGAGATGCAGAAAATAAGATATTTTTATACGCCACCATTCTGCTAGTTTCAAACACATTTATCAACTTCTATTTAAAATTGTACAATAGTGATGAGGAAAGAGAAGAGATAGTCTTTAAAATCTCCTTCTGCTAAATGAACAATAATACATTAAATAGTTCATCTAGTCAGAACTTTGAGAAGAATCCTACCTTAACATGTCCTACTAAGTTTTTTCTCCTATAAAAATAAACTAACAGTTATTAATTTTTTTGTTTGTGGACGAAAAAAATGTGGACAAAATATACTAGCCGATAAAAATTAATGAGAATGATTTCTTAAGCTTTAATACTAATGAAAAAAATGCATTTAGATTTCAGTGATGAAAACTGTCGAGCTATATGCTAGTACAATGGATTAAGGCTCATTCCTGGATGGAATGAGCATTTCAATTTTAATTTTCCGTAAAACAAATATGGAAACTAATGCCAATCCCAGAAATTAAAGATCTTATTTGAAAATATAATCTATAACTCATAATTAAAATAAAGTTTTTTGTGTCTTTTTCATAATTTCATAAATGTGAATAATTTTTTTCCATTTTTCTTTGTTTATATATATATATATATACGCGTACTGTGCATATATAAAAAAAACAACAACATTGACTGGATATCCTGTAAATAGTAAATATTTGTTGATATATAACTGTTTACTTTCATATCTTTTTTTTTTCTCATAGATGAGGTGATATGTTAATGTCATCGTCCTTTATATGCATGTATGCACATTGTTTATCGATAATCTAATGTCATAGTAAGATCCACTTATTTGATAAATCATCCGACCAACTGAGACAACTTGAACTACTTTCTGCACCATTGGCACTGTCGGGGGCTCCATGGAACAGCTACATGTATAGCTCAGGGGCCACTTTAGCACTCTAGATCTAGGACGGTTTTATTGAAAAATAGGTAGTTGTGCTTATGGGAGCGGAAAAAATGGATATTTCTGTTGTTGGGAAAAAAGAAATCATCAGAAAGTCAACGCTAAAAATGATATACTTACTTTTAATCTCTGGGCGGCTATCTGTATAAAAATGCAAGAAAAAAGTTTCCATAGTCTGATTTAAAATAAGTATAACTTTACTATTCTCACCTTGGCGTTGATGTTAATCTTAAACAACTGTCTGATCATCACATTCTCCTATCTGTGTACCGAAATAATTTTGAGACAAATATTTTGTATTTGAATTTACAGTTATTTGAATTAGTAGTCAACGTTTCTGTAACCAATTAAATGTTCGCGTACTTAGATCTTAAGTTGTAGAAAAATAATAACATATTACGAGCGAATGTACGTGTCATTCTTTAACTCGAACCATTTAAAATATTTTGTTCTGAATGTGCTGAAAATATGTCCTTAGATGAAATATTAATCTCCGCAAATTTAAAAATAACTATACCAGAATTAAAGATGCAAGTTATTCATTTGTTGGAATAATTCAAAGTATTTAAATAAAACATATTTAGAGACAAAGAAAAAGTAATGTCATGATTTTATGTCCGCGTTCAAAATATTTCGTTTAAGAAAAAAAAGGCAAATCTACGGTAGCATATTCCCGCCAATTGAAAAAAAAAATCTAGGTCGTACGTACGAGATTATAAGTTGTACTTATGACCAATTGATAGCCATTCTCTCTAAGCATTTAAACTGTTATATAGGTCATGGATTTTTCGGAAACTTGGCACACATTCTTATATTGATGCATGAAACTAAAATTCTTAATAAAATTGTAACTATGTTCCATGGCAACCAACATATTTTCCATGGCTTTAAAATTGTTGATTATGTTTTATGAAAATGACACATTTTTACTTATCAAAAGTCTTTAATGCGAGAAGATATTCACATGAATTTTCCTCCTTGCCAAAACACAATAAATTATAGTTCTTTAGATAATTTCAGCATCTTTTCCTCATAGAAAAAATATCGGCCCCTTTTTAGGTTAAATTTTTCAGGGGGAGGGGTTTTTTTGATTTAAGGCTTTCTTTTCCAAATGCCTCTTACATTTTTTTGCGGACACTTGGGAAAAATACATTGGTTGAAAAGCCCATTAATATACAGTTCTAATATAAACTACACTTTTAAACTTAAGGGGACGATGGGTGTATGGTCACATGACTCGGTTTAATTACGTCATAAATTCTGATGAAATATGTACAAAACGAGATTGAAACCACATTAGTCGTATAATATTTTGACTGTTTCTTTGCGTTCACCGTTTAGTGTAAAAATATCTGAAAACATTTAAAATTTCTTGCAAATGTCATCAAATTACGGAATAGATCCATCAATATTTTTTACAGTTTGACGATGAGGAACTTGCATTTCAATGTAAATTTTCAAATATTGAATGATAGGATTTTTTGCAAATATTTTTTTTTTATTTGTTAAAGTTGTCTTAAAAAGTACGTAATTTTCTGTCTCCAGATGCGGTGTGACAAAAGAATCTTGCTTTTTTCGAATTTTTAACCTTATTCGTACTCTGATATATTTTAAAAGACACATGTTCGCTGATATATTTTTTTATCTATTTTGAAAAAAATTCTGTTATGGTCCAAGTGATGGGCCCAAAATCATGTAGAATCAAACGTTCACTCAGGCACTGTGGGATAAAGTGTTTGTCACTCAATATATCAAAAATAAGTCTAGAAACCTATTGACATGTCTGCTTAAATGCATGTGGAACATACTAAATTAGGGATATACAACATATAAAAAAAATTGAATGACGTATTTTTTTTCAGCTAAAGGTCCTTCTTCCACTTAATATTCACATCTAGTCTTCAGGTTACCATTGCTACAAACTTATGCTTTTAAAAAAATCTGGACAATATGCATATTCAATCAGTTTCCATATAATTACCTTAATATTTTAAAATGTATTAAACGAAATTTACATATATGGTAAACAGTAGCGAAAGCAAAGAGACAAAGAATCAATTTTCATGACTAAAGGTAAAAAGGTCAAGGTCCAAATGGCAGATTTAGACTAAAATTTATGGAAACTAATCAAACTTCTATTTTCTGTGTCATAACTAATACTTGTGTTATGAACATCAATTTAATAAACAAAATTGCAGTCCTGGTGCACAATATCTACCATCATCTGGATTTGAGAATTATTTATAGACAAAAGGTCAAAGTTCAATGTTACTGTGGTAGATAAACATTGTTTTTGTCCCCGCTTACACTAAATGTGAGGGATATTATTCCGGATATGTCTGTCCATCCATCCGACTGTCAGTCAGTCTTTTTTAACACTTTTTTTTCTTGGTGACATGTCTTAAGAACCCTTTGAAATGAAATTATACCTAGCAACTCCCTGTGGCCTGATAAAGATCCCTATTGATTTTATTTGATGTTCAAGGCCATGATTCTTAATAACTGTCTGTTTAAACATTTCATTATCACGTGATATTTAAAGAAACCGACAATCTTTTTCAATAAAGAAAGATCCCTATTGATTTCGAGATCAAATGGCCAAATCTTAATGCTTACAAAAATCAAAATTACAACATTCTGTTAATAAACTTCTGATTTCCGAGCAATCTCTCAAAATTAACGTAAGCTTTCTCAATGAAATAACCCTTTTGTTCCCGCCAGCAACTTTTAGAGTGTCCCATCACCAACCCTATCACCCTCCGAAGCCCACTTCTTAATCTGTACAAGTTATCTTCCCCTTAATCAGGGGGCCCAGATTGTTTGAAGTAGCTTCTTATTGAAGCATTTATACTAGTGTAAGCGGAATAAAGTAAATATCGGACTGTCTATCCAGTATATTCAATGTATTTTATAACTGCAGAACGGTTGCTCTATGATTTTAGAAACCCTGTTTGAAAATCGATGTTTCGTTGTCAAGTTATTTTTAAAAATAATATTTTTTTTCTTCAACTTAATGCATTATCTGTGGTTCTCGATAAGTCGTCAATCGTTAACCTTCATAAAAAACTCAGAAATTAATTATTTTATTCTCATATGTCTGTGTTTTGAACGTGAGATCCTTTGATTTTCATGAATATCAAAAGAAAAATTGTAACAGGCACCCACAAAACAGCTTTCAAAGACATCGAAGACAGCACAGCACAGTTAAGGTAACAAAAAGGGGGCGGAGCCTAATTTCTACGGGAAAACGTAACTATGGCATCATACAAAATATACGTCATACGAACATTCTTTAAAATACCACAAAATGAGGCGATTTGCTTATTTAACCTGTAAGAAATCATCAAAGTACATCAAAACTTACTACAGCATACTGATTTCTTGTTAATTAAATCCTACATAACAAGTTATAAACAAGTTGCTGAGAGCAGTAGACTTGTTAATGTGACGTCATTTCGTGAAACATGACGCAGTTTGCATGCAGTGAGAGGCAGATCAAGTAATATCTTCTAAAAAATAAAATCTATAATTAAATAATACTTATAAATAATCTATAGGCAATTAACTTGGATTCAATGTTTTCATAATTTTCATTAATCTTTGTGTATAATAAGTATTTAATTAACACTGCCGTATATCTGTAAGCAAACTCATCTTCATAAATCGATCAAGTGCAAGGGCATAGACTCTATGGATCATAGTTAGCTTTTACAACTAAACTCTAGAACTATTAAGGTATCTGAAAAGTGCTGCGATCCTCATAAAATATAAAATATTATTAAATTATATTAATATTTCATGCCGTTGATTAGCAAAAAAATACAGCGTTCGGTCAAACGGATCTACATGTATTTTTAACAATGAAATTGCAGAATTTCGATAGGAACGCAGCACTTAAAAAAAAACTACAATGGGTGTTGAAAATATTCATAAACTTAACTTGGAATTTCACTTAGTTATACTCTTGCACTAGGGAAAATTTATAGGTAACATCAATACTACAAGTAAATGTACTTAAATCACGTGATTACCGCATCACGTCACACGTCTAAGTATAACCTTTACTCATCCTCGATATGTCGTTAATAACCATAATTACAATTATCCGATATATATTATGTACTACACATAAGCGAAATCCCGATTATGAATACATTTTTAATTAGAAAATATCGTCGATATTTCCGTTGTGCACCTTAACTGTAGTGAGGTTTGTTCAAAGTCGAGATTAGAATATAATGTGTATATTATATTTGTAAAGGTTCTTTGAAAATATATTTGTTGAACAACTTTGCTCTCTATGTTTCCTACTTTAAAGTATCATGATTTTGAATCTGTTCAACGAGTACATTATATTTTCATGGGATTAACCTCTTGGTGATCTGCTTACAATAGACAATATGTCACGTGATTCTAAACTGTCACAGGTGAGTACCTCCGGAAAGTGTGTTTTCTTTAGTCCGGTCCTGAAGTCACACATGTACCTCGAATATGAAAAGAGCAATCAAAAACTTTTTCTTAAATCTAAAGTACGGTTCACAATAGAAGGATAGAATTTGATCAATATCACATATGTTAAACTTTGATGATTTTCCAGGACATATTTCAATTCTCATGTGATGCCATGTTATTGCATTTTTTTCTAGGCATTTCCAACAGCTCACGAGTACATTTACACATTTCATCAATTTCTTGCGAAAAACATACAAACAAACAAAAAGTACCAAACATGTAAAATAGGCACATCAGAGCTAAAAGTAAATACATTTTAGCATAAAATCGCTTTCTATCCTTAACTATAATTTTTAAACAGTAAAAAAAAACAAGCATATTCCAAGAATTGTGGTCCCCCCTTCTTTCATTTTCTTTGTCGGAGATATGTCATTTTAAGCTTACCTGAGTCGAAGACTCAAGTGAGCTTTTCTGATCTAAATTTGTCCGTTGTCTGTCGCTCTTGTAAGTCTTGTTGTCATTGTCATCGTTGTCGCTATTTTTTTCACATTTTCATCTTCTTCTCAATAACCTCTGGGCAATTTCAACCAAACTTGCCAAAATGTATCTTTTGGTTAACGGAATTCAAGTTTATTCAAATGAAGGGCCACGCCAATTCAGAAGGGGAGATAATAATGAATTAGTGAAAAAAATTAATGGCATTTTGTTTTTAAAAATCTTCTTCTCAACAACCACTTGGCAAGGAAAGATGAAACTCATGTGAAATCGTTTTCAGGTAGTGAAGATGCAAATTTGCTCAAAACAAGACCTCCTGGGTAGGGTTGGGCCATAATGGTCGATCAAAATTTGTTCAAATCATGGCCCTTGGTGATAGGAAGGGAAACAATGGGAAATCAAATTCAAATTGTTCAGAAGTAATATATAGGAAGAAAATGTTTAAATAATCTTTACCTTTTCATGCTTTTGCTATTTTTCAAGAATAGCAAAACCATGATAAGTGATACTAGTATTCATATTGTAGAATTCTCAGGTGGTTTAGAATTCAATTTGTTCAAATCATAACCCCCAAGGTTAGGTTGGGGCTACAGTGGTGGATCAAAATTTTACATAGAAAAATAAATGGAAACAATTCAAGAACAAAAAAAAACTACATGTATGCTAAGTCATATTGACATGTAAGCATCCTCATGAATTGAAGATTTAGATTTGTTCAAATCATGGCATTTGGTGATAGGAAGGGAAACAATGGGGAATCAAATTCAAATTGTTAAGAAGTAATATATAGGAAGAAAATGTAAAAAAAAAATCTTTTTCCAAGATCAGCAAAGTCATATGCTGTATTGATATGAAGGCATTCTCAAGTAGTACATTTATCAAAATTCAAGCCCCCCCCCCCCCACACACACACACACAAACACCCAAGTAAACCTACTTTTCTTATCTTATTTGTACTTTTTCCTAGCAGATGTGCTCAGGTGAGCAACGTTGACAATGGGCCTCTTGGTTATTATGTCTAATTTGAAAGCCCTATCATGTGTCATTTAAAAATTATCATTGAAATGTATATTTTTTTAGAATAAGGTCAATCTAGAAGGTCAGGGTCAAAGCGTCAAAAATCAAATCATGCTTGGAAATATCTTGTCACAGGTATTGCACATGTCCAATATGAATTTCTATCTTTTCTCGATATAAGGATCAAGATCTGTTTGTGAAAGACTGACCTCCCCCCCCCCACCCCCCACCCCCACCCGCCCATATCAACTTAGTGAAGATAAAACTTTTCTTGAAAAGCAAATTAAATAATATTATTACCTAAATTAGATTCTTCATACAAGAAATGTGGTTGTGAAAAACGAAATCCCTAGCAATATATCTTCAAATATAATGAATAAGGATGAATTTTTGAAGGTTAAGTCAAACTCCAAGGTCAAACAAGTTCAAAGGGTCAAAGTTGTTAGTTTATTAAGAAAGGTATAATCACAAGTAACACATATGTGTATGATGAGAACCTTAACCCCAACCGTTCAAAACATATGGCCAAGGTAAAAATTTTGTTTAAAATTAGGTAAAAATCCAAAATCAATATCATTCTTGATATACAACAAAATGTCCCGTCCCAAGGATTTAATACATACAAAATGTGAAAGCCTTAGCCCTAACTCCTCAAAACTTACTGTCAAGGTCTGCTTTTTTATAAGTTGGTTCAACTCAAAGTTCAAGGTCAAAGTGTCAAAGTTTTTCATCTCAAATAAAAGGACTTCTCACAATGATTATATATTTGAAGTATGAAAGCTCTAGACCCATTCATTCGAAAGTTATGGTTATTGCTAAATTTTTTATATGTACGGAAATCTCCAAGGTCAAGGTCAAAACTTCAATTTTTTTGGTATCCAATGAACTATCTTACAACAAAGAATACATATGTGAGATATGTCCTACTATCTACCATTCAAAAGTTATGACCACAGTAAAATATGGATTTTTTTGTGTGAGAAGAGGTCAAATTCCAAGGCCAAAAGCAAAGAGTCAGATTTGTTGATACATAAGAAAGGTATTGTCCCAAGAAATAAACATGTGAAATATTAAATTCATAGCCCCAGTTAATCAAAAGTTATGGACAAGGTTAGTATTTTGTGACGAACGGACATACAGACTGACTGGCGGACAGAGGTATGGGATTTAATGTCCACTCGCTTTCTCGAAAGCGGGGGACAATAACAGTTTTACAGAGAGATATGAAATAAGCTATATAAGATCCGGAGTTTTATTCTTTCATATAAGTTTTTCTGTGTTTTAATAAAACGATTCTTTGATTTTTTTTTTTTAAGAAATGTTAATTTTTGCTATTTTTTTTTTTTTTTTTACTTTTTGATAACCAAGTATATCACGTATGTTCAACATACTATCTTTTACATGCGACTATTTGACTCGTACAAACGACTTAGTATCTTGTACGTGCGACTAAGTATCTTGCACGTTCTACATATTATTTCGAATATACGATGTAGTATTTTGTATGTAGGACTTAATTAGTATCTCGTACGTTCGACTTATTATAAAATCGTACTTTCGACTTAGTATCTCGTACGTACGATTTAGTATTTCATACGTATTCACACGAATATTTTCAATTGGCACCTATACGTTTTAGTTCATTAATCCGACTGTAACAAACTCAATTCTAATCAATTTTTAAAAACATTTATCAACCTAACTTAAGAGCACATATAAAGTTGAATAGAAACAAATCTGAAATCCATCTCGTTTCTGTATTTGTGTGTTTACATTTATTTACTTTTTATAACAATTAAATGTTGATTTTCACAAACATAAGAAGAAAAAAAAAATCATCATACCTTCATCAAATGTTATCTTTTCGCCAAGATATTTCTCATACCACTTTCCATTCGTGTAGGCAATTTGAGATGCTTTCCTTACCTCAATGGAACATTAAAGGAGTCTATTACACAAATTCATTTTCAAGAAAAGACAAGAAAATCATATATGTAAAAAATATAAATTTTTATGATACCATTTTGTACTCCCTAATACTTACATGAAAAACATTTAAATTGAAATGAAGACAAACTCTTGCCGTCTTTTTCAACATACTTATGCCCTCTGCAATAATGTTGGTTCTTATGCAGGAGATCTGCTTTTATAATGTACCTTAGTAAAAAAAAATTCTCAGAATTCAGTTGTCTATTGACAGGTATTTTGACTTCTACGTATATATATCAAAATATACCCATGTAAGGTAGAAGAATTCGTTACGTTAAAGCCAAATTTTCAAATCTTGATTACTATCAATTCTATCTGATATTGGGTTTTAACAGCCATGCAAATAAAAGAATCAGTCTAGTGAACATAACAGTATTCAATTAAAATTGTTCAATTATAAAATTGTGCATGTTTTGCGTTCAGTGGTTAATCATAAAAGTATTATTGTACATAATTGTGCTCTGATGTTTTATTCTATCCGTTAATAGTCATTGGCATAGTGTTATCATTATACATCTGAAATAGATGCCTGCTTGAGTTTTGAATTGATAGTATTGAATACTGTTTAAAAGATCCTTGGTGGATAATACAATGCAACGTTGCTTTATTAATGAAGAATATCTATTTATATTTATACGTTTATTTGAAATTTCCTATTCGTTTCTCTACAAAAAAGAGAGATCCGTTTCATATCTTGATATTTTAGACAAGAAAACTTAAATAAAAAAAACTTACTTTCAATGAAAAAAAAAAACATTTAGTATTTGATGATCCTTGCCAATTAGTACCAGATATATTCAATAATAGACATGAAAATTGAAAAGTCACTACTTTTCAGTTGACCTACAATGAAGACTCAAGATATATCGACTGACAAACTTTGTTTCAGAACCAAGTTGTACATTCATTTTTTAGATATAGCTATGAAATTTCAAAATTAAAGTAGTTCACTGTGACATACTTTTAAGCTGGCTCTTTAAGGACCCAAGATGCATCAACTTAACAAAATAGGTCTATTGATCCTAATACTTAAAGTGTCCAAATTATACCTCTTAAACTCTTTGTAAACAAATATTCGCAATTAAGTTCAAAAAGTAGTTCACTGTAACCTTCTTTTTGATAATGTGTTTTATGTACTGGAATTAATTACCCTAAATATCTTGAAAATGATGGGCCATTAAATCAAAAACAAAAGGTCAAGGTCATGCAAATAAGTTTGGAGGTTTATCCAGTAAAACGTGTCATTTTAAGAGTGATACCTCAAAAATTCCCCAAGGCCATTTTTTTAATGATAATGCCCCAAAAGAAAGCCTTTTCCCAGGAATTCGTACCTTTGTTGAAATATGTAAACTTCATATCTCTCTCTATATAAAGTGCTGCTATTGATATCACGATACCAATACGTTTTGATGTATTTAAATGCCCTTTGTCTCTCTATATATACCACAGTTATTATGTTCCCTTATTGTTTTTACTCTGTTTATTCTTCTTCTTCGATTTCTTCTTCTTCTTTTTCTTTCTCGGCACTTTTCTTTGTCCGGGTGTGAACTCTTAAACTGTTCATCCGATGTAGGTAAAACATTTTTAGGGTTAGTTGACATGTTATGTATTTGCAGAATCAATGACATTTTCCACGCACGTGCGTTCAAGTGCGCGCACATGCCACTCGTCAAATGAGCAATATATTGGATAGAGCAGTAACTATAATTCTATTTTTTATTATTATTATTCGCTTCCTAACTTTTAATAACTATTTGTTTTTTGACAAAATCCTTTCCAATTTTGAAAAAGGTCCAACATAATGAAGGTCTACAGCAAGATATAGAATTATTAATCTGAAACTATGTGTATGCACGTGAGCTGCTCTCTGATTGGCTGAAACTTTAACTCTTTACAACTTACTGAATTGTTTTGCAACATACACTGAATCCTCGCGTCATAGAAATATTAATTTACCATTTCCCCGCAAGCACTTTAAAGCGGGGTACAAGTTTCTCTAAAGATTAGCGTAAATAATTTTTTGACCTTATATTTTAATTAGAAAATAACTTTTCTTACTTTATGAGATTTAAGCAAGTATAAAATAGTTGGAATTTGGCAATGAATTGAAGATTAAATTAACGTTTTAAAGTGCGTGAAAATGCGTGATTGCGGGGAAACGGTAAATGCGTGATTTCGCGTTAAAAATAGGAAATGGTATATGCGTTAAAATGCGTGAGTGCGGTTCTTGGTTCTCAGCAAAACTGGATAAAATTTATAATATGGATAGGTATAATGGACTTCTACATTATGCCTCTATCAAAATTAAATGCAAGGGCATGCATGCATGCACATACAAGTGCAGGCGTGAAAAAGGCAAAGTGCCCAATATAATTAAAAAAAAAAAAGTTACATTTGCATCCTTATGATTTTTTATTGATTCTAACGATGCATGGATATCTTAATGGTTTGGACAACATGCCATGATTAGGTTGCATGTGCATGCACGCGCGTGTGCGTGTAATGCATTAAACGATACATAGTTGATATCATTGTAGCTTTTGTAATTCAGTTATGAAATCTTTCGATACTGAGCATATTTTAAAGAAGTCTTACAGGAATTAGAAACCATAAAGGGAATTGGGGAGCGTTTGGGTTGCATCTTTAACGGTCCCCCGTTACAATTAACACCAGTTGGTATTGCGATGTAGATAAGTTTGGACTTATTTTACTCATTAAAACGTCCCATTTTAGGAGTGATACCCTAAAAAATCTCCAAGCCCTACTTTTTTATGATAAAACCCCAAAAGAAACACTATTCCTGGGAATACTTCCCTTTTTGGAGCTTATTATCTTGATATATGGTCACTTCCTCTCTTTGTACATATTCCTGTTATTGATATCGCGATCCTGATAAAGTTTGGGGTATTTAAATGTCTTTTGTCTTTCTATATACATGTATTACTCCTATTATTGGCATTTATATAATGTGAAATAATAAAATATTGATATCTCACATATTTTAACGCTTTAAGCGTTGCGTAAAAACATGAAAAAATATTAGCATCGCGTTGCTAATTAGTGGATTATGTACAAATTATTTGTAATAGATTAGATCTTTAGATCTAAATAAATAACATGCTGTTTTTTTATAACACACAAATGAGAGAAAGAGAGGTAAGCACCCTCTCTTCCTTTCTCAGATATCTGTTGTATTAAATAAATGTCTTGTACATCAATATCATTCGACGCACTGTAGGTCTGGAAATCTCGTTACACGGTCACCGAAGGCAAATAGTTACTACCGGTATTTCCAAGAATTTTTTTCCCATTTTTTCTATCATTTGTAGATGTGATTTCCAAATTTCTTAAAATCAAAAAATAATAAATTTTATTGTAAATATATACTTGGAAGGCTTATGAATAATTTTGAAGGGTTAGGAGTAGGGCTTTTATACTTCAAATATATTTAATCCTTGTGACAAGACCTTTCATTTGAAATCAAGAACCTTTATCCTTTGACCTTGACCTTGTAGTTGAACTCATTTTTACACAAAAAATGGAAACGTTTACATTGAACATATTTCAGTGGTAGATAATAAAAAAATTCATATTTCAAATGTCATATTTGTGCCAAAACCTTTCATTTGAAACCATTATGTTGATTTTGAGACCTTGGAGATTTCCATACTTATGAAAAATACGTTACATGTAACCTTTGCCATAATTTCGGAAAAGTAAAGATTAGCGCTTTCATATTTCACATATGTAATCCTTGTGAGAAGAACTTTCACTGGATGTTAACAACTTCAACCCTTTGATCTTGACCTTTGAGTTGTGGGATAATTTTATAAGATTTTGTCATAGAGTAAAAAAAAAATGGTGGAAAATGTTGTATGGAATAATAAACAAAGCAAAAAAAGTATCAAATGTAAGCAACGAGGAAAGCCTTCTTTTTCTATATATTTCAGGGATTTATTATTTACGTTTCAATATTTTCAATATTCATATATCGATTACAAGTGCCGGTAAACATTCTATCAAACACAGTTTCTGAATTCATATGATTCTTATATTTTCTTTTCGAGAAAAAAAAAACAATAGCAAGTTGTAATTTTATTTTATTTCTTAAGTTTATTTCTCCATTTTTTAATAATGTAAAATCAGACATTTTTTTCGGGACTGAATTTTCATTGCTTTCAAATAGGGAAGAGTTGCATGGATTCACTATTCATGCCAACCAGGATAATTATATATTACTTTCAAAAATTAATTAATAGTTAGATCAGCCCCAAACACAGTGGTCATTAAAACCACGAAAAAATTGCCTCTTAAAAATATTTGATCATTACAGAAAATTATGTCTCCTGAGATTAAACGACGGAGAAAAATCATCTTTTGATATCCGTAATACAGGTGTGGCTGCATGGTCCAATGATTGCGAATTCGTACGTCAGATAATACAGCTCAATGTTGTCAGCAGCCATGTTGTCTTCCTAAAAATTAACATACAACAGATCGTTGTATACAATCAAAGAACACGTCTACTTGATATATTTTCCATATTCGTGATTTGATCCAAAGCACTATACGTCTGAATCGAGCCTTATAATCTCTCAAGACTTATTCAGCCCAATATCAAACATCTCGAACGTTGTAACAGCTCTGAATAACGGATGTGTAGGTGGTAGATTGCTTTTTGGATGACCTGTTGATTCCAACTAAACAGTTTCTTCCCAAGAAACTTGTCTGTACATAGTCGTCTACTGCATCACTCAAACAAATATGCATTTCTTCTGCCGCAGATTTTGACTTCAACTTAAGTAGGGGCAGCCTACACCACCTGTCATAGAAGAGAACCATTTCAAAGTTTGATGTCTGAAACTAAAATAAAAAGAATCTTCCAATTAAACAAGATGTACATGAAATAAATAAATTAAAAAAAAGATCTATTGACCTCATAGGTCACCTGGGCATTATGTACCAAATTTCCATACTGAATTTGGTTCCTATTTTAAACTAGAGCTAGGCCATACCATTAATGGTTTTGATGGAGGCACTTTTGCTCATCATTACTATACATTAAGATTGCTTAATAGGTTTGGCAACTTAATACGCATTGTCATTTCGGAGGAAAAAAAAGAAATGT